AAGTTTCTCTATCCCCCCAACCCCCCCCCCCTTTTTTTTTTTAAACTCTCCAATCACCACTTGCCAATTGACCAAACGAGTCTTTCTTTTTATCAGAGTTCCCATCCCATAGGAATGATTGGGTAGCAGAATGAGCAGATCAAATATCTGTTAATGTCATTATATAAGGTATTAGAGCATGACTTATTTAGTAAATGTACCCTTAGAAAATCATAATGCATAAATGGTTCATTTCTGCATGAGAATGAGGTAAATTGGCAATTATTAACATCATCAAAACCAAAGCTTAATGTTGCATAAATCAAACAGGTAAAAGAAAAAGGAATATCTCCTGTCAAATGAAGTCCCTTCCTCCAAGTTCAATATAGCCTCTTAGGCCAGTTCACTTCCTAAAAAGGAATTTGACCATCTTGTTAAATAAGATTCAGCTAGACAAAAATATAAAAGAATAAGGTGTTAATGTCATAAAGTGGAGTAGTCTTTTGAAAATATCAAGCAATTTTATTTTGTAGTAATTTTAGTTCTTGAATACAAAAAATAACTTTTTAAAAACAATCAGGTAAACTGGGACTAGAAGCAGAGTCACCAGTAAAATTGGCTTTTTTTATCTGATAAACGGTCAAAAAGGCATCTTTGGGATCCAAAGAATATCCATGTACATGGACCAGAAATGCATTGGTACCTCCCAGATAAATTAAAGATGGATATTTTAAATTAGGTGTGGATGATTCAAACTATCAACTTGGTGGAGCATTACATTTTCAGTAAGTCAAGAAGCTACACAAGCAAGATGCAATGTTTATCATGCCCCCACCAAATTGAAAAAAGAAAAAGGGAGTGCCAGCATTCATTCACACTATAAAGTTCCAGAAAAATGCTACTCTCCACCTCACAATTCTTCAACTAAGAATAGAAAATAAGGAATGTTGGGATTTAATTTCTTTACAATGTAATGGCCCCATGTACTTAACATTGAGTGAAGAAGAGAATAACCCTAACGATTTTCATATTTCAAGGACCTCAAATAGCAAGTTAATTATCTTTGAATACACGTTACTTCCCCAGGCCCAATTACATACAAAGATTGACATTTTTCATAATTGTTTGGGAATATTAAAAACTTATTGATATAAAACTCCTATATTATCTTTCAATAGACTTATTACTCCCCAAGACTAGCAATATACAATGATTTAGTTTTTCTAATAGAGATATTGTTCAAGTCAGCTAGCTTGGGCCTCGACTAATCTACTAAATACATGTTATCTCCCACCAGCATAAGTATAGGGTAACTTTGGCCACCAACTCTTAGGTAGATGGAGTGAATTCACCTAGTGTCTCGTCTGCAAGGATTCAAACCTTGTGTTGTTACTCCGACACCTTGACCGCTAGGCCACCCTTTGGGGGTTGTTCTAACATTTACTTATTTAGGACAATAATAAACTTAGTAACATAAAACTTTCCTAGGTAATCAAACACTAGAATTTTTCTTCTGCACAAGCAAATATATACAAAGCTCATTGTACATTTATGTCATGAATACTGATTACATGATTACAAAGAAACCTAACTGAGTCGCCAAAAAGCAGTTATGGAACAAGTCAAAGAACAAACTGTAACATCCATGAGACATATTGATCCAACGAATATTTAACTTACAAGTACTGCAATTTCTGGAGTTGGCCAAGCTGTGGTACCAGTTGACCTGTTAGATTTGCATTTCCAAGATCACTGTGCAAAAAAATGCAGCCAAAATTCACAAATGAAACTCATAACATAAAGGGACCAAAAAAAAAGATTTTTGTAGCTTACACTCTAGTAACACTATTTTCATTGTTGCATGTCACATGGAACCAAGTACAAGGATTAACAAGTGTTGGATCCCAACTCTGTAGAACACTATTAGGATCACCCAAATTGGTCTTCTGAGCATACAAAGCATCACCTGTCTTGCATAAAAGATTATACATCAATGATCACCTCATCACACATTAAAACTAGAAATTTTGTTGTATTATTTACAGCAAAATGCCTCCTCTCTCTCCCCCTCAACCCCTCCCCGGACCACGCGACATTTTCTGGGGTCCATATAGTTCATAACCAAACCAAATATTTGGTGCTAAGATTGTCTCTTGCAAGAGCACGGCGAATCCATAAATGTGTTTAATATGTATACACTGACAGTGCAATAAATTACTTAGAAACCAACTACGGGTAACATCTATAATAAGCCTCAATGAGTAACCTGGAAAAGCTGGTAGCAACCTGCTTAAATATAACTTAAATCCTTGATAGAATAATATCAACAAGCTGCAGTTCAACTTTTTTTGTAAAGAGGAATCCCAATTGAACAGTCAACTCAATTAAGCTAACAAAACCAAATTTGAGTCAGACACATATTCACCAAAATGTTGAAAAAAGAACAAACCTTCAGCGTTACCGGCAACCGGTGACAAGTTCAAAAGCAGCCCAGTTAAGCGTAGAAAAACCCAGATCACCAAGACCGACTGATCCATGATTCCCGGTCATCCACAACTAAAAATCAAGATTCCTCATTGATTTTAAACCATTCAACGAGAAAACCTAATCCCAAAAAAGGTGAGGTCAATGCAGTAAAATGGAAGCAAAGGGTCAGCTTCTGATAGAGAAAAGATTCAGCAAAAAGGTTATTTCAATTGAAAGAATAGAAAGTTTTTTGTTTATGTATATTTAATGGTAATTGTTCAACGGAGGAATGGTGTAGGTGTGGCAGTGGTTGAGAGAGTTTCTTCTGCCTTTTCACTCTTTGTCTAACAACAAAAGGATTATTTGACAAAGAATCTTTACCGAATTTAACTAAAGTTTTCCAAAATAGTAAGTATATATATATATATATATATATATATATATATTTATATATATATATATCAACAATAATAGAAGGATACTAGGAATATGTAATCTAATACCTTAATAATTGCAACTCCAATCACAGACAAGTCATGTTCATTTTTTTTTTCTAAAAAAATACGTTAGTTGTTATCAGGAAAATACTTATGAACATTTGATATTTACATTTTTAAAAAAAAAAGTTTACTGTAAATAAGTGATAATTGAGGTAAGAGAACATATTAGTTGAAAATAGTTACTCCCTCCGGTCTATAATAATTGACCAATTTGCTTTGAGCACACCCATTAAGGAAATACTAAATTTTAAACAAAAAGTAATTAGTGTGACTAAACTACCCTTAATTAAATATTGCAGTATAATTTAATGTGAGGAGTAAAAGACTTTTTAGGTAATTTTGAAAAAATAAATTCAATTTTTTCTTGATTATATAAATGAACACTTATTTTGGACCAAAATAAAAAGACAAATTAATCACTTATTGTGGATAGGAGGGAATAATATTAATTATTAAAATTATTCGAAGAGAAGAAATATATATCATGTATTCATTGATATATGTGACGTACATTAATATCGAGCATGAATAAAAAAAATTCATTTTTACCATAGGAAGTATTTTAACAGAACGTAAGTAAGTAATTTAGTGCATTGTAAATGATATTACTGATTTTAATACTAGTTAAATGAGACACTGGTCTACAGTCAGTGCTATTAATGTGGTTCGTGTGGTGATATGTGAATTACTTATTGATGTGTTAATTGTTAGAGGTATGTGTCTTTAACTTCTTTTTATTACTCCCTCCATCTAGTGTTAATAGTCATAGTTACAAAAAATAGTTGTCTCAAATTATTTATTATTTTAAAAGTTTAAGATAAAATTAATTATTTTTTTTCTTTCTTACCCTTAGTAATAATTATTTTTGAATATGGAGATAACACATAAATAGAATAAATATTCAAGGCAAGATACATAGTTTACCCCCGGAATTTAGGACCAAATCCCTGTGACGCACTTTCTTAGCACGGACATTCTTTAACATACTCAACCTTTCTAAAGTGTGTCTAAGACACACCACTTTTTTCTTGATCAGTTTTTTATTTGGAGATTGCAACCACGTGCCAATCAAAACACATAACTCAACTATAAATAAATATATATTTAAAATAAACTTTAATTGATTTATTATTTAAAAAAAAATATTATGTCACCTTCCCCCACTAGGGGTCTCCGGTAATGTTCAATGGGGGTTTCAATTCGTCACCTGTCCGTGCATAATTCTAAAGGTTAGAATTATATAATCCTCCTTCATTTTCTTGTCACTCTTCCTTCCGAAACTCATTTCTCTTGCTATACAAAATTGATTGAATGTTAACGAAAACTCCGACGGCAAAATATGGTCAAAAGCAAAACATTATCTCTATTGGATTCTTGAAATTCTTCAAAAAGGAATCTGTCTCCACCATTAAAATGTTTGGTGTTCACTGAAGGAGGAGTCACATAAATCGGTAAAAGAATCAGGGTTGTGGGCTGAAGTGGTGAATGAGCTATGAACCTTTATAAGATCTGAGTAATTTTTTTTTTTAAATCGAGTTGCTAATAAAACTATTGAGGACCCGGATTTCCCACTCTCGGGAGTCGTAATAGCGCCTACTAATGAAAGCTAGGCAAGCCAACCAACTGATTTATTTACTTTGTTTTCATTTTAAATCCGTTAACAATTAAGAACCAACAGCTAATAATCACCAAAATTTAATAAGCGGAAGACTGAATTGCAAGTTTTAATAGTGCTACCAATATCAATCCATAACAATCTACTCAAGACTGGTGTCACAACTTCACAGACTGTCTAAGAGTACTACGATTAAAGGTCTGAAAGAAATAATACAACACTGTCTCTGGAAATACAAGAAAGAAATAGGAATAATAGATAGAAGGAGACGCCAAGGCCTGCGGACGCCTGCAGGACTACCTCGGGTCGCCTGATGAATGCGAAACAACAATTTCACTGCGGTCCGAAATCTACAGCGCTGGGGTCTACACAAAAGAGTGCAGAGTGTAGTATCAGCACAACCGACCCCATGTGCAGATAAGTGCCCAGCCTAACCTCGGCGAAGTAGTGACGAGGCTAGGACCAGACTACCAAATAAATATGTGCAGTTAAATCATATACATCGAAAAAATAAAAGCAGAAAGGTACAGTCAAGGATGGGAGGGGGAAATTATGCTGCGGGGAAACATCAAATGATAATAGGAGGACAACAGGTAAATATAAGGAACACCACAACTCAATTATCAACAAGAATCAGAAATCAAACAAGTGCATGGCATCACCCTTCCTGCTTTTACTCTCGTCCTCACCATAAGAATCAATAAAAGATGCACGGCATCACCCTTCGTGCTTTTACTCTCATCCTCACCATAAAATCAATAAAAACTGCACGGCATCACCCTTCGTGCTTTTACTCTCATCCTCACCATAGAATCAATATAATCGGCACAGAATGGTACATCGTGCGGCACGACATCACCCTTCGTGCTTTACACTCTTCCTCACAAAATCATACACGGCATCACCCTTCGTGCTTTAACACTCTCTCACCAAAACAATGCACGGCATGACTCTTCGTGCTTTACACTCTTCCTCACCCAAACAACAATCACAAACAATAAGGGCAATGAAATAAATGAATCACAACAAAATCCCGACAAGGGAACAATATCAAAACAACAACATCCCGGCAAGAAAAAAATATTAGAAGCAGCAACGTCCCGGCAAGGGAACAATATCATAATCCTTTTCTCTTTTTCACATTTTCTTCACAACTCGTTTCACAATTTGAGCCAATGCTATATAAGGTTCACTTGCCAATTATACTTTCACAAATCACTTCACAACTTGAGCCAACGCTCCTCACTGTTCAAGTACTAACATTCTTTCCACAACCTTGCTCAACAATAGCAATCATCACATTAAACATGAATATCACAAATGGAGTCACATTAATCATAACATAAGACTCACGGGCATGCTTGACACCAACGTATAGATACTCGTCACCATGCCTATATGCCGTACTCAACAAATAACACATAGCAAATAGGACACAACTCCTAATCCTCAAGCTAAGGTTAGACCAAACACTTACCTCGATACCACGAACACAATTCAAGCCTCAACTACCGCTCTACCTCTTGATTCCACCACCAACTCGCTCGTATCTAGCCACAAGTTACTTAATAATATCAATAAATGCTTAATGAATCAATTCTAATGCATGGAAATAAGTTTTCTAAAGTTTTTCCCAAAAAAAGTTAAAAATCGACCCCAGGCCCGCTTGGTCCAAACCGAAATTCGGACCAAAACCCGATTACCCATTCACCCCCGAGCCCGGATATATAATTGGTTTTGGAATTCGACCTCAATTTGAGGTCTAAATCCCCAAATTTCAATATTCTTAGGTTTTACCCGAAATTCCCAATTCCACCATGAAAACCCTAGATTCTAGGATGAAATCTTGTAAAAAGAAGTTAAGGAGTAAAGAAAATGAGTTAGAAATCACTTACTAATGTTTTGGAGAAGAAAGAGTGTTGGAAAAATCACCTCTTATGTTTTTAGGGTTTTGAAAAGTGAAAAATAACTGAAAGTCCCGTTTAAATATACCCCTCTCAGACCCTCTCCGCGGACCGCACAAAAAGGACTGCGGCCGCGGAGCTCACCGCGGAGAATGTTGACTGCAGTGACATACTTTAGTATTTTTGCCATAACTTTATATACAGATGTCTAAATTGTGATTTCTTTACCTTTCTGGAAACTAGACACGAAGGGATAGAACTTTCGTTTTTGAATCATCTGAAAATTCCTTGTAGATCAGAAGATATAGGCTTCCGAAGTCAGACCAGTGAACCTGCGGATTCTTCCTCGCCGCGGACAGCACAAAATCGAGTGCGGCCGCAAAGTCCCCACCGCTGACCGCACGAAATCTTTTGCGGCTGCAAAGGCCCCTCCGCGGTCGCACAAAATCATTGTGGACCGCACAGGCGGGTTCAGAGATCTGCAACTTCTCTGAACCTGCAACAGCTATGTTTTTAAGTCTACAACATTCCGGAACCTATCCGAAACTCACCCAAGCCCTCGGGACTCCAAACCAAATATGCATACTAACTCAAAAACATCATACGGACCTACTCGTGCGATCACATCATGAAAATAACATGTAAAACCATGAATTAAACCTCAAAACTTATCATTTTCATCAAGAACACTTAAAGTTCATAACTCTTCAACCGGAAGTCCAACTCACGTCAAATAAACTCCATTTTTCACCAAATTCCACAGTTATCATTTAAATACTATAACAAGTTTGTACCGGGCTCCGGAACCAAAATACAGTCCCGATACCAATGGTTTCAAACATAAATTCTTTTCTTCATTTCTTAGATAATTCAGCAAAACAATTTCTTTCAAAAATTGATTTCTAAGGCTTGGGACCTCGGAATTCATTTCCGGGCATACGCCCAAGTCCCATATTTTACTGCGGACCTCCCGGGATCGTCGGAACACGGATCCGGTTCCGTTTGCTAAAAATGTTGACCAAAGTCAACCATAATCAAATTTTAACTCTAGAAATTTCTATTTCTCATATTTTCACATAGAAGGCTTTCCGGATATAGGTCGGACAACGCACGCAAATCGAGGTGAGGTAAAAAGGAGGTTTTTAGGCCTCGGAACACTGAATTTGTTTCTAAAACAAGTGATGACCTTTTGGGTCATCACATCCTCCACCTCTAAAACAACCGTTCGTCCTCGAACGGACATAAGAAGGAAGTACCTGAGTCGGGAAAAAGATGGGATAACGGCTCTGAATATTGGACTCGGACTCCCAGGTCGATGCCTCAGCAGGCTGACCTCTCCACTGGACATGAACAGAAGGGAAAC